TGTCTATGTTTGATTGCATAATGTGATGAAGARCATGACTATGAATGTTTCATGATTTTTTTTTAGCATGATGTTTGTGTGTTGTTGGTGAGGGCTACTTACGGAGTATATTTTATATACTCACCCCTCTCTGCAATTATTGTTTCAGGCGGAGAATTCGTTGCCGACCATGGTGATGAAGCGGAGGAGACATGACGAGCGAGGACCATAGGCTGCGTAGTTACTTTTGCTCAGCTTAGGTTTAGATAGGTTAAACTTTATTGCTTGGACAACAAACTACTCGTTCCTATCTGATTAGTTGGGAGGTTCCCACTTGTTGTCTACTTTAATTCGGAATAGGTGTTTATTTTAGTTTCTTCCATTCTTTGAGTTTGCCTAGTTGGAATAATGAAAATTGCTTCGTGGAGTTGTCCACGGATGATGATTGATTGATAATCTATAGGATTGATTTTTGGTAAATTGATGGGAGTTGAAGCTTTATTTTATGTAATTATTTCACAGGGAGTTAGTTATCTCGTGTTTAGAGATAAGGTTAGACAGGTGGGTAGTTAACGTGACCTAGAAGAGTGTATAACGTTCTGGGGCGCTACAGTAAATAAGCTGAGAAGGAACATCTAAAGCTAAAATGATCACTCCGGGATGATGAATAAAGAGAATGAGTTGCTGAATTTATAGGGACTTCAAGGTGGTTAGGAGGTTGAGAGCTTTGTAGAAAGCCGTCCATTTCAAACACCTTTTGGTTGGGTAGTTGTTGAATTGGCAACCTTTAATGCATGGAAGACACGTGGCAGAGCTTGGGAAGGCTTCAAATCACACAAAAACGTGTGTTTTATATTAAGCGCAATCTCGGGATTGGGGAAGGCGTCAGACACCTAGCTCGAAATTTTTCTGCAAAAAAGTGTAATTTCCATTAGAAATCAACTCTAAATGATGTAAAAACGTCCTATGTGCATGTATAACCTAAGATAACTTAAAATGAAAGGTTTTGGATACTATAATAAGCTTAAAATACGATTTCTGAGTTTAAAACGTTAGAAAACAGCACACATTTAGCTTCTTTTTACCCTTATGAACAAGGGAAATCACACCCCCAAACTTGGCTTTTTGCTTGTCCCCAAGCAAACTTAACAATTTATATCTCTTAAATCACATGCAACAATCATAAGCAACATCGAACATAAGGATAGACTAGACTTGGTTTTCATATGGTGTCTCAGGAAAGATCATCAAAACCTCATCATCTTCCTATCTTCGGAAGCCAAATTACCATAAGCTAACAAAGTTCAAAACAATAAAAAGTTTTTTAAAATCCTTTCCTTTTTCAAAACATGAAAACTTTTTGACAACACTCTAGAATTTGCACGCTTCCTTTTTCACTTAAATTTTAACACTGAAGGAATGACTACTAGCCTTTGTGGGGATTTCCTCCACAGCTTTGTAGAGGGCTTTCAAGTAACAACCGGTCATAACATATCTACGGTGAGTTGCACGATGCTACACTAGACCCAATTGCTACCCTCGAAGCTGCTTACGCCACTCGACCTAAGCTACAACGAGTGTCTACAGTGATAAAAATAAAGACATTTTCTTACCGCTCTTTTTTCTTACCTCTCTTTTTTCTCTCACAATTTTAAATCTTTTCCCCACTCTTATTTTCTCACAAGCAAAGAGGACTCTTTTATTTGCAAACTTGTTTTTTTTTCCGACTCTTTTTCTTTTTCTTGCAACGACTCTTTTTATATGCATTTTCTTTCTAGTGACTATTTTTCGCAAAATAATAGCATGTTCTTTCATGAATGAAAAAAAAAACATTTTCTTTCTAAAAGCAAAAGACTGTCCCCCCAAACTTAAGAGAGACAGTCTCCTCACTGGGAAAAGATTTTGGAAGAGGCAATGCAAAAATCAAAATGAAAGAGGACAAGGACTTCATAAAACATTGAAAAAGTTTCAGTTTCAAAAAGAAGAAAAGCAAAGAAAACATGTTATTGAAAAGAACTCGGTCATAAAAGACTCATGGCTTTTTAGGACAAAAAGAAAACAAAGTTCATTTAATCCTTAAGAATCATCATCGACATGAAAAATAAGAAAAGACACACCAATATGCTAAATGAGATTAAATTGGCAACATGCTGTGTTTAAGAAATATACGTCACTAAGGCCAAGAAGGAGATCATGATCGAAACAAGAAGAAACTAAATGGTCATATTTTCATAACGAAACTCAGAAACAACCAGAAAAGCTCACAATATTATCCTACCCAAACCTAAACATGCAGCTAAATTCAAAAATAATATAACAAGCATAAGAACAAGAACAAAACTTCCCTCAAATGAAGAACTAGCCTCATGGATCAAACGGCCACGTCTCAAGGTAAATGATGTGTCCCATCTCCTTTATTTTTCTTTTTTGAAAAAAAAAATTAGGGTTTAAGACTTTAGATTAATTAAACAAAAACCCATTTGGAAAAACAGACCAGCAAAGATTCAAACAACAAAAAATCCCACCTATTTTTGATATTTTAATAAAGCCTAAAACACATATACTCTCTATTCTAAAACCTTCTAAATTTGATTAAAAACGAAAAATGATCACACCCTTCATTATTCGAAATCAAAACTAACTCCCAAAATTAAAATCACAAATTTTCAAATTTTTGGATCGGGCCGAGGCATCAGGCGCCTAGCCTAAAAAAATCCGAATTTTATAAAATTTCACTCAAGTAATTTTGTAACACCTTAATCTCAGCCTAAATAACCTAACTACAATTAAAAATAAGTGAAATTCGAAAAGAAAATAAGGAAAATACTCCTAACTAATTTACACAAAACCCTTCAAAAGAAATTTTCAATTAAACAAGGAAGGGAATTTTTTTTTTTCAAACTCTTAACTTCCAGAAAGTTGGATAGAGGTCTTCCCTCTATCTATTTCTTCTCCAAAATATTTTTTAACACGTTGGCCATTAACTTTTTAAAATGTTACCTTTAAAATCTTCGAGTTCAATGGCACCATGAGGAAAAATTTTTGAAATTTTAAATGGTCCAGACGACCTGGACTTTTATTTTCCCGGAAATAATTTTAAACGAGAGTTGAAAAGTAAAACTAAGTCTCGTACTTGAAAAGATTTAGGCCTAAGCCTCTTCTCATGCCATTGGTTAGTTTTTTCTTTAAAAATCTTTGCATTTTCGTAAGAAAAATTCCTATGCTCCTCAAGTTCCATCAGTTGGAGCTTCCTTGATTCTCTTGCAGAAAATAAATCAATGTTTAGTCTTTTTGTCGCCCAAAAAGCTTTATATTCTAACTCTAACGGTAAATGGCAAGCTTTACCAAAAATCAACCTATATGGGGACATGCCGAGAGGAGTCTTGTATGCTGTCCTATATGCCCATAGAGAATCGTCCTGTTTTAAAGACTAATCTTTTCTATTTAAATTGACAGTTTTTTCCAAAATAGATTTGATTTCTCTATTAGACACCTTAGCTAACCCATTGGATTGAGGATGATAAGTTGTGGCTATCCTATGACGGACATTATACTTAGACAACAAACTTCTTACCGCTCTATTCAAAAAATGAGTCCCCTCATCACTTATCAAACATCGAGGGATTCCATAACGAGTGAAGATATGCTTTTGTAAAAATCGAACAACTACCCTAGCATCATTCGTAGGGGTAGCAACAGCTTCTATCCACTTGGACACATAATCAACAGCTAGTAAAGTATAATTCTTACCATACAAAGGAGGGAACGGGCCCATGAAATCAATACCCCATACATCAAAAATTTCAACTTCCAGAATGGGGTTCAGAGGCATCTCATTATGTTTAGAAATATTACCTATCCTCGGACACTTATCACAAACCTGAGCGAAGCTAGTGCATCACGGAATAAAGTGGGCCAGAAGAACCCGCTTTGTAATACCTTCGTTGCGGTCTTTTGTCCAGTGAAATGCCCTCCATATGGAGACATATGACAAGCCTCCAAAATTGCTTTTTGCTCTTCGTCCGCTACACACCTGTGAAGGATTCCATCAGGACCAAGTTTAAAAAGGCTTATCTCACCTATAATATCTCACATCATGAAGAAACTTTTTTACCTACTGCCGACTGAATTCATGAGGAATAATACGACTTACCAAGTAATTTGCAATGTCAGCATACTAAGGGACATTTTCAATACGAAGTAATTGCTCATCAACGAATTGTTCTCGAATCTCTGCTTGACCTTCCTGAAGTGGGGACTTGAGCGTAGACAAGTGGTCGGCTACTTGGTTCTTCATTCCCTTACGGTCCCTTACTTCTATATCAAACTCTTGAAGTATCAAAATCCATCGTATCAAACGTGGTTTTGTATCCTTCTTTGCAAATAAATACTTTAGAGCAGAATGATCAGTATAAACAATTACTTTTGTCCCTATCTAGTAAGACCTAAACTTATCAAAAAGCAAACACAACTGCTAACAATTCTTTTTCAGTAGTGGTGTAGTTTAGTTGTGCCCCCGTTAAAGTCTTACTTGCATAATATACTGGATGTAAAAACTTATCCCTTCTTTGACCTAACATGACCCCTAAAGCATAATCACTAGCATCGCACATAAGTTCAAAGGGTAACTCCTAGTTAGGTTCTATAATTATTGAAGCCGAGCTCAAAGCAATTTTTAAAGTTTCAAAAGCTATCATGCAAGCATTATCAAATACGAATGGTCTATCATTTTCCAAAAGTTGGCAATAGGGTTTTGAAATCTTTGTAAAATCTTTTATAAAACGTCAATAGAAACCCCCATGGCCTAAAAAACTTCTTATTCCTTTAACATTTGTGGGAGGTGGTAATTTTGAAATAACATCAATTTTAGCACGATCCACCTCAATCCCATTTTTCGAAATCTTATGGCCTAGCACTATCCCTTCTCGTACCATAAAATGGCACTTCTCCCAATAACAAGATTTGTGTCCTCACATCTTTGTAAAACATTTTCTAAATTCAATAAACAATTATCAAAAGAATTTCCAAAAACTGAAAAGTCATCCATAAAAACCTCAAGAATATTTTCTACCATATCCGAAAAAATGGCCATCATACACCTTTGAAATGTCGTCGGTGCATTGCATAGACCGAAAGGCATACGCCTAAAGGCAAATGTCTCATACGGACAAGTGAACGTCGTCTTCTCTTGATCCTCCGGAGCGATGGTAATCTGGTTATATCCCGAATATCCGTCTAGGAAGCAGTAAAACTCTTTACCTGTAAGACGATCCAACATTTGATCAACAAACGGGAGTGGAAAATGATCTTTTCTCGTTACCTTGTTTAGTTTGCGATAGTCGATGCAAACTCTCCACCCGCTCACAGTCCAGGTTGATATAAGTTTATTCTCCTCGTTTACCACCACCGTCATCTCGCCCTTCTTAGGTACGCATTGTACTGGGCTCACCCAACTGCTATCAGATATAGGGTAGATGACTCCGACGTCTAATCATTTTAAGATCTCTTTTCGAACAACCTCTTTCACTTTTGGATTCAAACGTCTTTGATTCTCTATTGAATTGATGACACCTTCTTCCAATAGGATCTTATGCATGTAGAATGTAGGGCTTATCCCTCGAATGTCTGCAATGGTCCAACCAATGGCCTTCTTGTATTTTGCCAATACCTGTAACAATGAAAGCTCACTTTCAATAGTTAAACTGGACAGGCAAAGTTTCATTAAGTTTAAGATAATCATATTTCAAGTGAGAAGGTAAACGATTTTGTTCCAAAGTGGGTGGTTCCATACTGGATGGTTGCAATGTTTTGCACACTTCTGACTTTATATCCTCTTTTTCCTCTGGTGGATGCATCTCTTCAACTACTTCTGGACAATCCGTTTCTGCAGCCTTTAGTTCTTCCTCAATTCCTATAAATAAAAGATCATAGAACTCATCAAACGAAACAGGATTTGAAGTACTAATAGCTTAACATTCTTCTAAATCTCTTGGAAGTTTCATTGCATCCAACACATTAAATTTGACCTCCTCATTATTAACCTTCATTGTTATTTCTCCTTTTTGAACATTAAACACTGTATCTCATGTAGCTAGGAAGGGTCTACCTAAGATGATAGGTACATCCAAATCGGCCACACAGTCTAAGATGATGAAGTCTGCAGGGAAGATAAACTTATCTACCTGAACTAGAACATCTTCTATTTTTCCTTCAGGCTTCTTAATGGATCTATCTGCTAATTGGAGGGTAACTGTAGTGGGTCTAGCTTCTCATATGCCTAATTCTTTGGAAACAGATAGGGACATTAGGTTAATGCTAGCACCTAGATCGCATAAAGCTCTACCTAAATTCTTTCCTCCAATAGAACAAGGGATGGTGAAACTGCCGGAATCTTTACATTTTTTGGGCAAAGGGCTACCTACAGCTTCACTACTACACTTAGTCATAGCTACTATCTCATGTTCACCTAACTTCTTTTTTCTAGGCACAATATCCTTCAGGAACTAAGTATAATTTGACATTTGTTCTAAGGCATCAACTAAAGGAATGTTTATGTAGAGTTGTTTGAGGATGTCTAAAAACTTTCTAAACTGAGTTTCTTGGTTTTTCTTGGCTAATCTTTGAGGGAAAGAGGGAATCGGGACAAAAGATGAATTTTTTTGTGAAGAGGCGCCAGACGCCTCCCCCTCACCCGAAGTCCTTTTTTCTTTATCTGCTTCATTAGGAGCATTTTGCATTGATGTGGAACGTTTCTCTACCTTAACCGGCATCTTTGGTCCTTCGTAAGATAACCCACTTCTCAAAGTTACCGCCTTGCATTGCTCTTTTCCATTTCTTTTTGGAACTTCAGTATGCCCAGGAAAAGAGCCTTGCGGTCTCGCCTTCAAATCATTGGCAAGTTGTCCCATTTGAACTTCTAGGTTTCTCATTGCCACTGCTTGAGTTTGGATTGTGGCATTCTGGGATTGCATCAATGCATCATTGCACGTCATGTACTCCTTAAAAATGTTCTCAAGACTAGTATTGTTATTATGAGCTGGCTGCGATGGGGTTCTATGGTTCTGATTATACTATTGTGGTGGTGGTGGCATCTGTTGATTGCTTGAAAAAGTAGGAGGGGCATAGGATTGCTTATACTGCTGGTTTTCCCCTTCAATCGCTCCACTGGAACTTCCTTGATCTCCCCATGAAAAGTTGGCATGATGTCTCCACCCCAGATTGTACGTGTTTGAATAGGGGTTGAAGTTCCGATTGTTCCATGACCTACGTGATAAATAGAAGCTGGATTATGCGGACAATTCTCATAAACATGGTTGTCACTACAATAAAAACAAACAATTTCATTAATTTGGCAAACAGGAGGAGCATATTCTAGTTGCACGGGTGCAACTGGTGCACTCTTTCTTTCTAGGGTCAACTCCTTGAGTTTGGATTCATTGTCACCATCTCTTTCTGCATCGAAGTTGCGATGTCCAATGCCAAGACTCCTGCTGTGTCCTGCTTCTTAGAGGCAGGTTTTGACCTTTGAGAACACCATAACTCATTGTGGGATGTTAGGTCCTCCAAAATATCAAATATTTCGTTGAAGGTCTTCTTCGTGAAAGCTCCATTTGCGGCGTTGTTGAGCATCATCTTAGTGGGGTGGTCCAAACCTCGGAAGAAGTGCTCAATCTAGATACATGCTGGTAATCCATGGTTCAGACACTTCCGCAGCAACTCTTTGAATCTCTCCCATGCCTCGTGCATTGGTTCACGATCATATTATCTAAAGGTGATAATCTCTTCCCTCATGTTAGCATGGCGTGTAGGAGGAAAATACTTTGTATAGAACTTTTCTACTAGCGAATCCCAGGTGGTGATTGAACCCGATGGAAAAGAATTGAGCCACATTCTCGCCTGGTCCTTAAGAGAAAATGGGAAAAGAGTTAACCTTAATGCATCATCAGTTATATTTGGAAATCTAAATGCACTAGTTATTTGAAAAAAAAATTTAGATGATCATGAGGATCTTCGTGTTCATGAACCCCGAACTGTCCTAATGTCTGAAGCATTTGAAATATAAGCAGCTTCAATTCGAAGTTGGCGGCTTCTGGAATGAGATTTAGAATGACAGAATCCAAATTCTTGAATGTTGTGGCAGCATATTCTCGCATGGCCACATCTCTATTATCTGCCATCAAGATATGATTGAACTCATTGTTCTGTTGTTGACCTGCCATATTTTCGTTAACAATTGGTGGATTTGCAAGATTTTGTGGTGGAATCTCGTCCATAAAAGTGATGGTACTTTCACTCTCGCTTTCGAAATCTCTATCTTTTTCTTTCTTTTTTTTCTTTTCTCTCTGTCTGAGTCTCTGTTCTTTTCTCAACCTACGACAGGTTCTCTCAATTTCAGGATCAAATGGCAACAAAAATGAATCCATGCTCATGCACTAATCAATGACCTTCGTGGTTGGATATAAATCAAAATGTTTAAGAACAGAAATGACAATCACAAAAATCGATCACAAAAATTAATAAAAGACTAAAATAAATGGTCCCCGGCAACGTCGCCAAAAACTTGTTTGGGATTTTGGATTCAAAATAAATGAGAGCGCAAGTGTACACTTGTCACAAGTAGTAAAAACTGAACGAGTATTCCGAGTATCGATCCTCAAGGACAAATGAAGTCTTTTTATAGGAAATGTTAATGATCGGTGACTTTGTAATTGAATTTGGGGTGACAATAATAAGGATAATGTTGGTTTTGATATTTAAAAACTCAATGGAATAAACCCAACCCAGTTACTTCAAATTAGCAAAAATACACAAACTTTTTCCAACTAGGTGTCAGGCGTCTCTCATAAATTTTCTTCAGTTTTACTTCGCCATCTTCTTATGTCTAAGTGATTTTGAAGGTTTAAGTCCATTCCTAATATGTCTATTAGAAAAAATAACTTAATTTAGTAAAAACCAACCGTAACCTTAGGTCGAGGTCCTATGTCTCGGCTACCCGAGAGGAGAAAAACGCCTTTTGCCTTGTTGGATTTTAAAAACTTTAACTAACTATCCATAACCAAGCTTGGGAAAAAAAAATTTAGCTCATGCTAATAAAGGAAAAGCAAAATTGGTCGCTAATGGAAGTAAAAGACATGATTAAAAGATAAGTAGAATTAAAACAAGCTGGAAATGGTGGAGTTGTAACTCGAATGACCCTAACCCGTTCTCTTTCAACATTGGGGAGCAGTACTCGGTCGATTCCTCAAAGTTGAGTGATTACAACTTCGTAATGAGAACAAGAGAGAGATGAGTAACAAAGAACTTGCTGGAATTTTAATTAAACAAGATTAAAACTTACAATTCAAGACTAACAAGCTAAAAATAAAAGGTGAACTAGAAATAAACAAGGTTTAAAACAATAACAACTCAAAGACTAAAAGAGAAAACATAAATAAGCTGAGAAGGAACATCTAAAGCTAAAATGATCACTCCGGGATGATGAATGAAGAGAATGAGTTGCTGAATTTATAGGGACTTCAAGGTGATTAGGAGGTTGAGAGCTTTGTGGAGAGTCGTCCATTTCAAACACCTTTTGGTTGGGTAGTTGTTGAATGGGCAACCTTTAATGCATGGAAGACACGTGGCAGAGCTTGGGAAGGCTTTAAATCACACAAAAACGTGCGTTTTATATTAAGCGCAATCTCGGGATTGGGGAAGGTGCCAGGCGCCTAGCTCAAAATTTTTCTGCAAAAAAGTGTAATTTCCATTAGATATCAACTCTAAATGATGTAAAAATGTCATATGTGCATGTATAACCTAAGATAACTTAGAATGAAAGGTTTTGGATACTATAATAAGCTTAAAATACGATTTCTGAGTTTAAAACGTTAGAAAACAGCACACATTTAGCTTTTTTTTTTTACCCTTATGAACAAGGGAAATCAAGTATTCGAAGTATTACATTAAATCAACAATGGCAAACGATGATACGTCCCAACGATCTTTTACCAGTAGTAGGACGCATACCTCCATTCGCAATTCTCTGCCGAGGAGATATCAGCCACCTCTTATCTGTGGTGGAACTTCAAGGAGGATCACTTGGTGACCAGCAAACTCGAACAATGTGAGGCAGATGGGCCAGGAGCTAATTGGATTACATGCAAAGTTAAACGAAGTTCGTGCTGAATTGGGTGGCGCCGCTCATATGCGTGTAGAAATCACATTCCAACAAAAGAGACTGGAGTAGTCCTTGAACC